ACAAACAAGTGTTGTCAAAGGGTAAAGACAAATGTGTTTATAACTTTTCCAAATGGCCATACTCAAAGGCAGGGCAAAGAGTCCATTGAGGCATTGTGAATTGTAAAACTGGGGATAATAAGTGTACACTTTCGGACAGTCGCTCCTTAAAGATCTTTGTAGTGCAAGGTGGCCTTGTCGAATTCTTAATTTCAAACATTTTGTTTTCAGATGCAGCCGTCCCCCCAGATTACGAGATCAAAAAGGACCATTTGACGATTAATACGACTAATGATTGAAGCATGCAAAACCCTTCATCCTGAGACGTCTAGTGTAAGAAAAATTAGGACACTGCAGAGTAAGATACGAAGTGAGATCCCACAGGGCTCTAAAAGAAAGGTGGTTACCATATTTGCTCAATAATAATATAATTTTTAGTCCCTGCTTTCAATCCCTGGCTACAGATTTGTCTCTCCGAGGCTTTTATCCTGTGTGGTGAAAGTTAGTATTCAAACGGTTACCACAAATCTCCCTTTCACACACAAGGAATGATCGAATGATCCACAAGAGTATTCTAAAATCACCTACTCAGCATCTTAGTTATCGGCTGCGCCACCTGGTAGATGTCAGAAAGCCAGAGGGAGACGGAGAGAGAGAGGAGGAGGGGGGGGGGCAGTCGTCAGATAAAAAAGTAAGGAATGGACAGCGCTGAATGGATTTTCAACACTATATTATGAAGACATATCTCCTCTTTTCCATTCACGCCCCAAATGCACTGACACACTGCTCTCTCCACACACTATCCTCCCCATGGCGTTATCTCTCTCACCCTTTATTACTCTCACACAAAGTGTTCAGCACAGAGCCTTGCAGATGTTCTCTCTCCCACAGGCGGATCAACCACATTCTCACATTTCAGCAAACTGGCCTTATTATCATATTGGGTGTAATTGAATTAAGGAGCAGTTTAAACTGGGTATATTTGCGCAATCAAATAAGCACAATCAAAACTAAACTGCCTTTGACGCTTCATAATTGAGTTTTTGCTCTGCAAACATGTTCCTTGATGTTGTTAGCCTCTTTATGTGGTACATCTTATTTTTGTCTGGAAAGAGGAAATGTGCAAAGCCCATTTTGGTATCCACCTGCCGAGATCTGAGTCCTACTGGGTTTTTTTAGTTTTTTCCTGGATAGACTGCCAGGAGCATGATGTAAAACCGGGCATACATTTGCCTATGAAACCTCTTGGCTGAATAAAGTACAGTCTCCCTACAATTGAAAAGGATTTATGTCAACAGTCACAAAAGCATCCAGCACAAAGAGGTGTTAGATCTAAAGATCCAAAGACCGCTTCTGCTGAGGAAATACAATTAACAAAGCGCTGTATCGTCTTTTCGGAAACAACTAAAACCTCACTTTGATGAAATTGCACTTAATCAACATATAGTTGTTGCCCCCACCATGCTGTAGCAGCATTGTTAATTTGCTTGTTGAAAATGCAGTGCGGTTTTTCAATATTGCTGACTCGGCTTAGATGGGCAATGGCCACTAATGAGGTCGGCAGGAGAGGTCTTCCTGTTAGTTAATTTCGATATTTTTTTATTTTTCATTTATAGTAGTTTGGATTTGGATGAAAAGAAAGCGTATTGATTGTAGTGTTTATTATATCTACATTAGGAGCTGACGATGAGTGGGAAACTACAGCAGAAGTGACCATGCCCCGTCTACTTCAGTTTAAAACCTTTTGGTTATGTGCCTTGCTCAGCTCTTATGATTCCATTACAGAGGCAGTCTTTACTCTGTGGCATTGACTAATGGATAGCCTTTGCTGCTCTGCAAAGTGTAGGCTGTTGTATGATGTGCTTCAGCAGGCCTAGAAATGAGAAAGGTAAAGAACTCACAAAGGAGGCCCTGTGAAATCATGTTCGATGAGCCCCAGCTACAACCCCGCAGACTGGATCTGAGAGCATTTTAATGCAGCATCCATGCCACAAATTGGTCCTGTGTGTTTATGTTATTTGATACCAGTGGAGAGCTGCTATCTAGCAGACACTGTCTTTTGATTCATCTCTGCGCCAGCACACCTGCTGAAGGCTGTGAATTGTCAGCATTCGAGTGAAGCACAATCCAGAGCCCGTGGCTACTCTGTAAGGGCATGGATCTCTGAACAGTATTTGTCTCTGTCTGCTAAGATATTGTAATCATGGGAAAGTAGCCTATCTCAGTGGTGCAACAGCTGACTTGACCCCCCACACCCTTTCTAATAGGGGAAAGAGCCAGCCTGACAGCAGTGAATGCCCTATTACTTCTGCTTTATTTGTACAACATTGCCCCCTAATGTTTTGTTCTGGTGCATCTCCTCCAGGCCTGCTCGGTGGGGGGGGGGGCATGTCGGAGGATAATGCTGCATCACAACAGAGTGCAGTAATTTATCACTACCTGCCCCCAGCAAATTGACCACGGATACACATCACCTGTATTACTCTGTCACATCTGCTTTGAGGAAAACACTGGGGAACTATGGATGTTCACACACACACACACACACACATAAACATACACACACATTTCAAAACTGGAGGGAGATATGCAGATTCAAGACAGGTATCTGAACCAAGCCAGAGGGTATGCAAAACGGAGAGAGGAGTAAGAAACTGAATTTGGAAGAAGAAGTATGGTACTTTAGTGATAAATGAATAAATCGTTCAGCTTAGCAGTTACGTCCAATATATCCGTTTTTTAATGAAATAAATCCAGTCCTAACTTGATTAGGAATTATATGGGGGGCTTATATTGCATACAGAAAGGCAAAATGTGAGGAGAGAAGGTTTTGTGAGGCTGGTGCGTCCTCTGGTGGCAGGAAGTCGACATTATATTTTGACGTTTCCGTCTCCGGCAGCCATATTGCTTACAGGAGCAAATTCTGGAAAGCTAGAAGAGGGAAAGGATTTAAAGTTGACTTATATCTCCACCACTTGATACACCCAGACTACACAGGACACAATGGGTAAGCTGTTCGGCAGGTCGAGAACACAGATAGGTGTAAAAGATTTGACAGTGTGTCATCGGGGGATGATTATGAGATCATCATCCTGTCACTGTTGTTCAGCTAGGTAGCTAACGAGTTAGCTAGGTAGCTAAGGAGTTGACGATGCTACGCAGCGCAGGATTAGTTGCTAATACGCGAGGAAAATGCTGTATATTAGGCTGTCACCACTTTGTATTCACAGAGCACTGTTGAATCTATTATTTGATGCCATTCAAGGTGTATTAACACAACCCCAACCCGAGGAAACAACCAATGCGATTTGTTAGCCAACTTAAGGAAACTTGGCTAATAGCTAGCTAGCTCATTTAGCTAGCACCACCCAGTGCCGTCTTTTCTTAAGTGGGAAGACAAACTTATCGTTTAGATCTACTGTTATCATCAGTGTGAGAGCAATGCTGGCTGTTATGTCGAGGCATTAGCTTTCTTATCAGTAATCTCAGTGAGTGACATTAACATTCGCCGGTCTGTGAGACTCCGCGTTGCTTTAGGACACAGCTGATGGTCACATTAGCAAATTCAACGCTAGTGGAGGTTTCAAACGTTGTGTCGCTGTTTATTTGGGGCTGTTTTGCGGTTAGTTGGTGGGTATGTCGATTGTAACTTGGCAAGGGACTTAGGACGAGTCCGAAACGGTTATATCTGTATAGCTACGAGAAGAAACCATTTAATAGTTTTATTGATTAGGCACATATTTGTGTGCGCGCACTGGCTAGCGCTAACGTTAGCTTAGCTATGTTAGCTCAGTCACTCAGCCTTGTTCTTCAGACCTGTCGAATTGGATAGACTTTAGTGTTAATACAATACAACTGTATTACATTTAAACGTTATTCTCCCTTTTAACAGATGTTGTCGTCTTCTAGTGGAGACCAGTGAGCTTGTGTATTCAGTGCAGAAGGAATACATGGAACATTTTTGACAGCACACTGATAAACCAGCGTGTACATGTGACACCGGAGCGCCCCGTGTTTTCCAGACTATTCCCGCACAGGATAATGTTGTTTTGTTGGTTTTATTTTCAGTTTTTCATTTGTAACTTACAGTAGCATGACTGTAATGTACACATTTAAACGGACAACTGAAAGAGGGCGGGCGACAGACTATTAATAACCACCCTGCTTAGTGTATGTGTCAAGTGGAAAATATTACACAGAAATCAGGCTGGCTCACAAACCTCTGGTCATTCTATTTTATGATTTAAACAGGAGTCCTGTTCTGCCTTTGTCACCAAAGCGGGCTGTTGTGTTTCACCTAATCGGACTAAATTACAGGGTCAGATTGGATGCTGTGTAGCTGTGCAGACAGTTTCAGATCTATTTGCAGAGGCTGTGATATATCTGCTGCTGAGATCTGTGCCACCACCCTTCAGCAGACGGTTTCCATTCCATGTCCATTCTTATTAAGCTGGTGGAAGAAATCTCAGCAAATAAAACAATCTGTCACTCTAGATACCAGTAGGTGCGAACATTTTTGTCCCGATTCGACTCAACAAACACTTAAACACCTCCCACCATTCTGCTTTGTGTCCTCTAGAGACTCCTTGATGTAGGTAGGGTCTCCTCTGAAATGCCAGCGCAGGCATGTGCTCTCGGCAGGGCTATTTCTGTGCCCTCTTATCCAAACAACAAACTGCCCGTGCAATTCAGATACAGCAGCTAACGGTACACAAACAAGAGCATCCAGCCGCAACCTGTGCTTGTGGGCTGTCCACGCCCGTGGCTTTACAATCTGGACACATTGCACACATGCGTAAGCTTTTTATGAGGCCGGTTGTGCTAATGCCCCCAAACCATAACATGACCTCAATTTGCTCCACTTGTTCTGATATTTAACCTCGGAAAACCCCGCTGTTACCATGGGAGGCTTTTGGCACAGACAGTTGCCACCGTCCTGCGCTGGTGGCAGGTTTCAAAGTTGTCCCCACCTCTCTCTCTCTCTCTCCCCTGTAACCCCGGGTGACTCAGGGATCTGCCCAGTGCCCTGTTCTGGCGGCATGACTGCACAAATGCTGAGAATGGGCAATTTGTCCTGTGTGGGCACCAGTTTATGCTAACTCTGCGATTTAACTCTACTGAATAAATACGTTTGTTCTGCCCGCCAGCTGACTGGTTGATGTAGAGCTTAGCTCTCTGTGTGTGTGTGTGTGTGTGTGTGTGTGTGTGTATTTTTAGGAAGTGTTGTCCAGTGTCTATGAGCCTGTTTATACAAGGCCTTTTATATATAGATCTATGTACATGCTGTTTCATCATCCTGATTAGAGACAAGTCAAGGGGAAACAATAACAAACTTTGTCACATGTTAACCCTTCCCTGCACATGGTGTACATTATCTTCAGCTCAAGTTCAACCTGGATGAAGAAAGTAGCGCACAATGTTGTTTCCTGTTCTCTCACTCATGATGTTTACCTGTGTCTGTGGCCCATCAGAGCCGTCAGCCAGTCCGGCCAAAGATAACTACAGGATGAACCGCTACAAGAACAAGGCACTGAACCCAGAGGAGATGAGGCGCAGGAGAGAGGAGGAGGGCATCCAACTCAGGAAACAGAAACGAGAACAACAGGTATTGCACCAACTCTGTCCATTCATCCCACTCGTCAGATCCTGGTTTATATTCTATCAGTATGCAGTCTCTGTATACTGAAAGTAGTCTGGCTTGACTGTGTCGCTTTCATTTATTTTATCATAGCTTTTCAAGAGGAGGAATGTGGACATTCTAAATGAAGAGGATGCCATGTTCGAGAGTCCTCTGGTGGACTCCTACCTCAGCTCTCCAGTAACAGTGAGTGTCTAGTTTCCTAATACCACTGACACAGCATAGGCAACGAGAGGCTCACACAGGACCCACCAGAGGGTTGTTTTATATTACATTTCTGTTTCGGTAGTTATTGTTGTCTAGCCTGTTGTGGCCCGCAGGTTGCAAATAGTGGAAATCTGTGTGAGTGTTTAGAGTTTTGGTGCTCGTATTGTTGCAGGAAGGAGTCATTACCAGAGACATGGTTGAGATGCTTTTCTCAGAGGACCCAGAGCTTCAGCTCGCTACAACACAAAAGTTCAGAAAACTACTTTCCAAAGGTATGTATTTTGTACTTGCAGTAACTCTGCATAACTCATGAAGTCATCTCGACCTAAACAACAAGACTTACATCCATATTTACCTCGGTTCATTTCAGAGCCCAACCCACCAATTGATGAAGTTATAAACACACCTGGAGTAGTGGAGAGGTTTGTGGAGTTCTTGAAGAAGAGTGTCAACTGCACACTACAGGTAGGTTTGTAAAAACACTGGTCACAACGCCTTGTGCGCGTAGAACACGTATATAAGGTGTAAATGTGATATGTGTGCCTAACAGAAAAATCAGAAAGTGCATTGCTGGCCAGTTCAATATCAATAACCTATCCTATCTGATGACGAGCTAGTCAAACCAAGACAATGGTTCCACATTGGCCATCATTTTTTCTTGTGTGCGCAAAGCAGTGAGGCGTAAACTTCAGTACGTGAATGACTCGCTAATGTAAAATGAATTGAAAGATCCTGAAGTTTCCTCTTATTTAATTTGTCCCTGCAGTTCGAAGCAGCTTGGGCACTGACCAACATAGCATCGGGCACATCCATGCAGACAAAAACAGTGATTGAGGCTGGAGCAGTGCCAATCTTCATTGAACTGCTCAATTCTGACTTTGAAGATGTCCAAGAACAGGTAACATGCAGTTTGACTGGCATAGTATATTCTGTCTATGATCTTGTCTTGTTCCATACTGTTGCACCAAATGTCCATAGGTAACAATGGCTTGTTGTCTTATGTTTTCTCCAGGCCGTGTGGGCCTTGGGGAATATTGCAGGGGATAGTGCAGTGTGCAGGGACTATGTGCTGAACTGCAACATCCTTCCACCCCTATTAATGTAAGCCTATCTTCTTTGTCTGTGTAGAGCGAATTCAGGCATCTAACGTTCTATAATAACATGTTTACTCTCTCATGTACATTTTTACAGCTTTTCTGTGTCATTTTTCTGTCATTTCAGGCTTCTGACCAAATCCACCAGATTGACCATGACCAGGAATGCAGTGTGGGCTCTGTCTAACCTCTGCAGAGGAAAAAACCCTCCACCTGCGTTTGAAAAGGTACCACTTCACTTCATGAAGTCAACAACAAAAACACAGTGATAATTCAGGCCTGCTGCAATATTAATGGTCAACATTTTGCAATGCATATGTGTGGCTGTCAAATCATGCCTAATGGTTAATGCTGCTTGGACACAGTCAGGTGCAGGATAAAGCCTGCATTTGTCAGAAGGTAACTCACTGTCATTGCCATTCCTGCATAACCTGGGTGTACAACTGAAGCTCTATAGTTATCATTGCTTAACCATAGAAAATACAGATATGTGTTTGCATAACATGGTTATCAACTCTCAGATCACCGGAAAGGTTGCAACAGTATTTACACTGGAGGTCGAATGTCGCAGTGCAGGAAAAATGTTGTAACTTTTATAGGATTTCTTTTCTTAACTTGTGAATGAAGTCATTTAATAACTGTCAATCTGCAGTCAGGTTAAACAGTCTGGGGTTTAGAAGAGGGTCACACAGTGCAGTGAGGTTATCTGTATTTATCTATTCAGACCAGCACATGAGCCCGGTTGATCCCAGGTCACAGCTGCAGTATGTGAAGGATTTTTTTTAAACTATAAAGGTCACAATCATACATCATTTGAATACTCCTACACTACAGTATCTTAACCAGCACTGTTTAATTCCTAAACCGAATTTAACTGCTTGAAACTTGCGTTTCAGCCGTCATGTTGAAAAATTGGACCAAGCTGCTTCCCCTCCAACTGCTAATCTGCTGAAAAGTTTGAATCAATGTTTCCGTGCGTTTCTCTGTTGTTGAATTTGTATCGTTTCTCATCATAAATATACATTATGTCTGTGCTGTCTAGGTGTCACCCTGTCTGCCAGTGCTGTCCAGGCTTTTATTTAGCAGTGACCCAGACTTGCTGGCAGACGCCTGCTGGGCCCTGTCCTACCTCTCCGACGGCCCCAATGACAAGATCCAAGCTGTCATCGACTCCGGCGTCTGCAGGCGTCTCGTAGAACTACTCATGTAAGTCCAGCCGCTCTCTCTGTTGTCTTTGTGTCAGGAGGTATGGCCAGTAAATACTTAGAATTCGCTCTCCGTTGAATCTCCCTTTCTTTAGGCACACTGACTATAAGGTGGCCTCCCCTGCCTTGAGAGCTGTAGGAAACATTGTCACTGGAGATGACATACAAACACAGGTGAGAGTATATTACACTTTAGGTTGTTTCACAGTTCAGCTTTTGTAGAGCCACACCATTACATTTAGTGGGGTACACTCAATTGCCTGTTTATTAGGACCACTTACGTCATACAGAGAGGTGTTTCTATTTTTTAGCCTTCCCTCAATGATATAAATCACTGTCCCTTCAAAATTTCTTTCTGAAGGGACAGTGATTTCCTTGTGTGGCAGGTAAGATAAGTACACAATACTTGCCATGTGGATCAAAATAAAGGAATATTGGAGACAGCAGTGGAAAAGTAGAGCACAGAGGCATGGCTATATTTGGCTGCACAGACAATATACGTTAGCAGGATGAATTCATTGTTAGTTTTGTTTCGTCTTTTATATTTAGTACTTTTTATAAACATCTTGTAAGGTTTGTACACACTCTGTCTCTGCCTGCAGGTGGTGTTGAACTGCTCAGCCCTGCCCTGTCTGCTGCACCTTCTCAGCAGTGCTAAAGAGTCCATTCGCAAAGAGGCATGCTGGACCATCTCAAACATCACAGCAGGAAACCGAGCACAAATACAGGTGACGCACACACACAAGGCTCACAACTCTGCAGGGTTGGGTTGGTCATGCTTTGCCACTGATACCGAATCCATTCTGATACTTAAAACGACATTGTTCTGTTCTACATGGAACAGCTACTTCTCTCTGTATTTCTTCTAGTAAATTAACAGATAGTAAGAAGGCCTTTTGATGTAGTGACATTTTATGAACATCAATTTGTAGTCCATGAAGAGTATTATATCAGTGATATGATAAATATTTGTTGCATTTTTAGGCCCTTTGGCTATTTAAGCATGTTAATTTACAAAATAGCCTTGATATGTCACTGCACACTGTGGTACACTGTCTGTAATAAGCTTATTAATCATTTGTGGTACCCTGCTATCTGGCATTTTCCTCCAATAATCTTCCACAGCCATGGCAGCAGAACCTCTTATACTATATATTTATATTGTACTATTTTTACACCATGTTATATTGTTTTGTAATAATGACATAAATATCTAAATTAATGGCACTGTAATAAGATTAATCTTACTGTGTGGAAATGTCAGCACTGCACAGTATTTATAACCTTTTATATAATCACAGCTGGTGTTATTTAATCTGTCCTTCATTTTTTGTTCACTGTATGTTGTAGTGTTGTGTTTTGTATTCCGTGTCCTTTCCCAAAGCTCTGAATCATTCTGCTTTTGCCTGTTCCAAAAACCAAATATTTCCTAATGTATATAACTACACTTTTAAATAAGTGAGTTTAGTTAGTCAGAATCGGCTTTGGCGGCCAAGTATGTGCACACATACAAGGATTTTCACCATTGTTTGTTATATTCCAAGCATTTGTCTATAAACAAGACCACATAGAGTTTGATTTGAAATAGAGACTTAGAGACTGATCGGTCCATCTATCATTCAACGCAGTCCTCACAGGCCCACGATACAGTAGCTGAGTTAGAGTAGATGGGCCCAGATCGCCGGCAGATTTGTTTTGTGGAACTTGCAAAGGTAAGCATGTCATAACTGTGTTGAAGCTGCTTTTGCAGGCATGCCCCTAAAGTCATATCTTATCCTACCCCACAGACGGTAATTGATGCCAACATCTTCCCAGTGCTGATCGACATTCTACAGAAAGCCGAGTTCAGAACCAGGAAAGAGGCAGCCTGGGCCATCACTAACGCCACCTCTGGAGGAACACCAGAACAGATCAGGTCAGACTTAGAGTAAATAAACTACAGCATATTACAGCGTCCCTCAGCTAATGACAAGATTGAGTTGGATGCGATTGCCTCTTTATTTCAGTAAGTCAATAGTGTTGGGGCAACTAAATGAACTAGTCAGTTAAAAGTGTTTGCTGGTCAAGCCTTTAGTGATGACTGTGGAAGCACAAATAGCATATTGTCTGGTAAACCACTGCAATGAAAAACGATCAGCATGTTCATGCGTTCAAATGTTAGCATCTTTCCCTGACAGTGAGACTCTGATAAAATCAGGAAAAACAGATAAAAGTTCCAGCTTGTTGGAAATGAGTCACAATATGAAGTGATGGTTTAATGGTGAAGAAATCAAAAAATAAAAATGTTTTAGTGAAAATTTAGATCTTCATGGAGGAATTGTGTCATTAAAAAGTGAGAAATGGGGCAATATTATGCACAAGAATAATAGGATTGAATGGTAGAAACTTAAATTACAATTAATGTAATTGACTGAACTAGATCAATTAAAGCAAACGGTAATTACGTTAAGCTGTATGTGTGTCTATCGTATGATAAAATCTAATGTCACTCTGAAAAGTCTGTCCTACTTCACGTTTATCTTTGAACCATGTTGATAGGATGTTCTGAGCCTAAAATATAATAATAGTGCAACACACAAAAAAATGAATAGTATTATTAGTGGTCTTAATTTGATTTATGGAATAATCATAGTCTAAGTTTTGGAACTACAGTTCCCATAATTTGTGGGCTTTGTGGATATAAACATGAAGTATAGCAGTCGTTTATCTGTTGTCTACATCTTGAGCCCTGCTTTTTTAACCTATTTACATTTTGCCAACCATAAGCAGTCCACGCTTGCAATGTATCCATGGATGTACTGATAAGTCACTTGATTACGGTCATACTGAAGAAAACATGATAATTAGGAGATAATGATATGCTCGGAGAGTCTAAAAATATGAGGAGTAAGAACACAGTATGGTGAATTAAGTTGTGACTGAAGTGTGTGTGTGTGTGTTACAGATATCTGGTGAACCTGGGCTGCATTAAGCCCTTGTGTGATCTGCTGACGGTGATGGACTCAAAGATCGTTCAGGTAGCTCTCAACGGGCTGGAGAACATCCTGAGGCTGGGCGAGCAGGAGGCCAAGCAGGAGAACAATGGCACTGGAGTTAACCCTTACTGCAGCCTCATTGAAGAAGCCTATGGTACTGTACACGATGTCCACACAAACACACGGCTTCGACATACTGTATGGCATACAACATAACTGGATGACACTGATAATAGGTGATAGGTGATAATCAAAATACATTGATCTAACGTTACTTGTTTTTCCAGGTCTTGACAAGATAGAGTTCCTCCAGAGCCACGACAACCAGGAGATCTACCAGAAGGCCTTTGACCTAATCGAGCACTACTTTGGGGTGGAGGACGAGGACAACAGTCTAGCCCCTCAGGTGGACCAGGCCAACCAGCAGTTCCTTTTCCCCCAGCAGGAGGCCCCCATGGAGGGCTTCCAGCTATAAGTCAGCCCCCTTCTCCTCTAGAATTCACCATTTACCCCCTTCCATACCTCCCAATCTCATGGAGGGCGTCATACTTCTATGCCCTGTTCCCTGATCTGCCATCACCCCCGCCACCGCTACCATCACCACACACACCCCCTTTGGAGGAAAGCTCAAACTGTCCCGCTCTTCAGCCTAAAAATACCCCTCTTCATTCTCCTCAACCAGTGGACTGACTTCTTGCAGGGCAGGCTCATGTGATACCTGGCCAAGGGGAGAGCGCCACACAAACTCCATTACCCCTAGAAGAAGAAATGATCCCAAAGTGTGAGTCTGCCCTGGCTTAAAACGCACACACCAACATCTTTCCTGCCATTTGATAGCTCTTAGATTCTCTCATTGGCGGTAACGATGGTTTGTTTGTTTTTGGTCTTTATATACACTTCCATTTCTTTTCCAATGGGACATTCCTATTTTCAGGATAACCCATGCATCCCCATGCAAAGTCCACAGACTGGGGTGCATGAGGTGAAATATGCCTAGCTCTTGATGTCAGATTGACTTAGTACAATTCAAAGATGAAACAAACTCGTAACATGATCCCTTTTTGTTTTATGATTATTTTCCCCTAAAACCTGATTTATCTGCTCCTTTTTTGTGCTTGTGATTTTTTTATTTATTTTTTGGCTTAGGGCTGGACTGCTGATCTGTATAGGGGGTTCAGATGCACAAACGTCCACCCAAAGTTGAGGGCTTTCTACTGCCCTGAGTAGATGTGTGATTTTTT